GCTGGCAGGGGTTCAAATTGGTGATCACGCTAGACAACACGCTCTCTCACAGAAAATGTAACTAATGTCTGCTCAATATAGTTGCTGTATAAACAAGTGGGCTCTCTGGGTGTTGACTAAGCACAAATGTGCTTGAGCGAGGGTCTGCAATAGGGATTAGCTACCCGCCCTAGCAGACGGGTATCTTCGAAAACGAGTGGCCAGTTATTATATATATATATATATATATATATATATATATATATATATATATATATATATATAGCATTTCGGTCGAAACTAGTCGAGGAATCTAAATGGAATAATAATAATAATAATAAAAAAACGAGAGAATATTAATCTACAACTCAGTGTGTCTAATGATTTTAATTTTTTAATTTTTAATTTTCTTATTGTTCAAAATATATATATATATATAGTGAAAGTGAGTGAAAATACTGAGTATAGTGAGAACTGAGGAAAGGACAAAAGATGAACGGGAATCAAGAAGACAGAAGAAGGAGACTGACATTAAAATGTTGTTCATTATTTTGACCCTTTTGTGGGGGCGGGGGGGTTGTAGAGAATGAAAGTGAGAGAAAAGAGTAAATTATAGGGAGGATTGAGGAAAAGAACGGGAATCAAGAAGACAGAAGACAGCGATTGACGTCGAACTTAAATTTTAGATGATTGTAGTTATCAAGAAAGCAAGTAAGCGGAAGGGAGTTCCACAGGCTGGAAGTGCAAGTAGAGAAACTATTGGAGTAGAAGTGGCGGTTGCATTCAGGTATTTCAACAGTAAAAAGGTGGGAGCTTGATGCCAATTTATTGGCCCGATTATATTATGATTTGTTACAGATGACAGATAGTCCTTTCTTCACCTTTTCCTATACTGCATTGTCTCCATTTCCCTGCTTTTTTTTTTTTTTCTGTATTTGCCTTCAATACAGTGAGTGTCTTATATTCTTAAAATTGTGTTCACCAAAAATAAATCCTATTATTGAATGCTGGACATTTTCTTCGCGAATTAAGAAAAGACTGGTTACAAGAGAGATGTGGCTCTAAGGAAAGATGTTGCGACCAACGAGGAAGTTTTAAGTGGAAATGAGGAGGAAAGGAATATCCAGTAAAATTTCTGTGGCATAATACGGAAAGAGAGCTTGACGAATTTGAAACACACAGGATATATTGAGATAAGAGTTAGCACTGAGGTAATCTAACTTATCTTTGTGCCAATGGTCGGCAGTACATGGACCAGAAGATATAGTTAGGTATCAAGGATTGCTCAGAGCTGCAAAGGATAAGAAGTCATGGAGAGTCATTATCGACCAAGTCCTGCAGGGTCACGGCAAGAAAGAAAGTTTAACTTAATTACATCAGTGCATTTATTCGTACAAGTGTGTTAACAGGTAGTGACATTTATCAATGAGATGAACTTTAAATATTTCTGATTGCATTATTCCAAAATTTTAACACATCAGCAAATAGCTATTAATATCAACAACTGACCACAAATAGTTATTAATTAAAAATTTAGTAATTAATGTATAATATTATCCATAACTACATGTACAAGAATGTCGTTTTTGATAAAAGTTAAAAATAACCATAATTACATAAAAATGCGTATACTGTCGAAAAATTCTTTTTCCACATTATAGCCATTTATGCTATGTTATAATGCTTATTACCTTAATAATAATAATACTGAATAAATATCTTTAAACATTAAAATATATTTAATCATATCCCCCTAATAGATGTTGGAGATCTGTTAAAGGTGGTCAATGAAGTCAACACACAGAGGCGACAGTCTGTTTCCTGCTTAAGTCGAGCAAAAAACACATCGAATACGGACTGACGATTGCTTTTATGCGGGAAAAAGACTGTCGCCTATGGGTGTTGACTTCAATGTCCACTTTTAACAGATTGCGACAGCTATTAGGGAGATGTAACACTGAATAAGTTTTTTAAACATTAAAGTATATTTAATCATATCTCCCTAATAGCCTTCGCGATCTGTAAACGCTAATATTATCCAGTAGCATCGGTATATAGTCGCAGGCATCAGGATATGCATGCTGACCCTATAATGTACGGGATATAGGAGAGTGGCGCCCAAGAAGCAAGCATCTCGTAAAGAAAGGTGCGTGTTTTACAGTATATCACTGTCTTTTCGTTTATTCCGCTGGGAAGGAAATTTTTACTTTTATATTAAGTAATTAGCAAACACATAAACATGAAACTTTTTATATAGTGTGCTGGCATTGTGCATCACTATATATATATATATATATATATATATATATATATATATATATATATTGGGATATACGCTCTTAAATAGGCGCCGGAGGAGTCGTCACTGATACAAATTGACTTGGTTCTTGTTATAGTGGAACACACCTATTCTATAGTTAATAGACTCTCCAACCTATATTAAGTAGTAGTAGTGATAGTCGCTCAGTGAGTTGTTCAGTCAGTCGATGCCGGACGCACCGTTAGTCGGATACTAAAGTATCAGCGACTTCAACTAGATTTTCTCTGCGTCATTACCTATTATATCAAGTTGCTAACGTTTTGTACGTCGAACCTATTTTAGGACCGACTTAGTACAAATACAAGCCTCCACTGTGAAACCACACTACAACAGTTCATCAGGGAGTTTCGGGCTTTTCAACACCATACAACCCATCTCCAAGCCGACCCAATCACGGGAGATCAAGTCCTCCTTAATCAAATGTTAGTGGAGACTCTGGCCTGTTTGATAAATTGGACGAAAATAGACCATATTTTCCGCGCAACTGATTGGATTTTTTATAACAACCAATCCACTGCGAGAACTGACTTTTAAACGATTTCTTTCTTTCTTCGTTTGATAGCAGCTTCAGTGGCTAATCGAGGAGGTAACTTAACATTGGTAGAGTAATGCATAGCAGCACGGATTGAGGAATCGGAGATCCGATTTCGCATTCCATTCGAATCCATTACATTCACTTATGTGCTAATACTCTTGGGAAAGGTATGGATACTCTTCTTCTCCCTCCAGCAGGAAAAACCGGGTTCTATAGACTTTGATGGCAACTGGTCTACTGCAGAAAAAAATGGCGACCTAGTGCAGGAAAAAATCTGCCTCGTCAGTCATGTATTGAAATAAAGAACGTATAACCTAATTTAATTATATCAGTGCATTTATTCGTACAAGTGCGTTAACAGATAGCGGCATCTATCAATGAGATGAAATTTAAATGTGCCATGCATGTATCACATAACTGACTATATTCAGTCACCCCCCCCCCACGAGGGCGTCATGTAGCACAAAGCCTTTTTAACGTGGGCATTCCCGAGCCATTAGGCTCGGCCAAAAAATAGCCCATTTGAACCCGTATAAACGGGTTCAGGGCCGAAGCCCCCCTCCCCGAAGGAGAGACTCCGCCCTTGGCGTAGCCTCCTTCGGGTTCCTCTCCGTCCGTAGACAGAGTTGAACCGAACAGTCGCTCAGAAACTTATATATATATATATATATATATATATATATATATATATATATATATATATATATATATCACGCATAAATAAATGACTGAATCTTAAGCCTCTGTTGTTTGTCAAACAAGGTTTTGTGCTTTACTCTAAAAATTTTCATTTTTGATTCATTAAATTCGCCTATAAACAGTAGTGTTGGGTGGGGGTGTAAAAAGAAAAAGGAAACTCACCCCTATCACATTTTTATAAAATAAATATCTACTATCCATTTTCTACTATGGTATGATATCTAACATCCATTTTCTACTATGGTATGATATCTAACATCCATTTTCTACTATGGTATGATATCTACCACCCGTTTTCTACTATGGTATGATATCTACCATCCATTTTCTAATATATATTTGTATCTCTGAGATGATGTATTATGATTATTTACATTATTTACATTATTCGGACTGTATTTCTCATCTTCATTACCATATTAACAACGTTTCGGCCGTTGTACGCTCCGGCCTTCTTCAAGTGATTGTAATTTTGAACCGACACCATTATTACGTCCCCCGGGATAGATTGTTCTAGTTCCACGTGCCATGTCTCTTCTTGGCTATATCAGTTATTTCTCTTTAACTCAACTCTCCAAGTTTTTGGTTCACCAGTGCTGTGGCCTGGTATTGAACTCACAACTCTTTGGGTCTAGTCTCTGGATCTAACCTACGTCTTTTTCCAATGGGTCATCCATTTTCTACTATAGTATGATATCTACCATCTATTTTCTACTAGAGTGTGATATCTAGTATTCATTTTCTACTATGCATGCTGACCCAAAATGTAAAGGAAATGGGGAGGTGCTATCTAGGATAGTGGCGCCCCAGAAGCAGGCATCTCGCAAGGAAAGGTGGGTGTTTTATAGTATCTCACTGTCTGACTAATTCTCCTAATTTGGACAGGAGATATTTTTTTAGATTAAGTAATTGGCAAATGCATAAACATGTTCGATAAAAAAGGGCTTTTTTTTATATAGTGTGCTGGCATCAGTGCGCCAATATTTACGATGGTTGCAAACACAGCATCATGAAAAGCGTCAACAATTATTAAGATGCATATATTTTGACACACCGACACACACGCTGTCCTTACCCTGATCGGCGGCGCATGCGCGTTCCCACCAGTTGCTCTAGTTTCCTGTAAACCAATATCTTGTAAAGCGAGCGGAATGGAAAACACTCCAGATGGATGCGAATGCACTTCTGTTTAGTTTTGTCATTCTTTCGTTGAAAATCCTGTGCGACTGGTGTTGTCATGACGACGGTATCGGCTTTTCATAGTATCTTCGGAAATTGGGCATTTGCTTGTTGGCGTGCAGTTCGCCCGAAGAATTCTTGGCTCAACTGACCCGCTGAAAGATTGCCTTTTTCAGAGAAGTGTGGGCCTCTTCTTTTTTTTTCTATTGGTTTTTATTGACGTCATCATACTTGCTGATATCAAAACGGTAGTTTCGATAACTGTAGGAGTGCTGCTGCATTCGTCATTTACTGATTGTGAGGAGAAGCGAAGAAAAAAAAGAAGAAGAAGAAGAAGAAAGAAGGAGAGAGGAAACAACGAGGAAGTGGGTGAGAGAAAAAGAACGAAGCAGAAGAATAAGGGAGAAGGGGAGGAAGAGAAAAGAAGAAGAAGAGGAGGAGGATGAACGGGGAAATAAAAAAGAGAGAAGAAGAAGCAGAAGAAGAAGAAGAGAATGAGGAGGATGGATAATAACAATAATAAGATGAAGAAGAAGAAGAAGAAGAAGAAGAGAAGGGAAGAAGAAAAAAAACGAAACAGAAGAAGAGGGGAAGAGGTGAAAGAGAAAAAGAAGGGTCATTTTTCTTCTTTTGACTAAATAATACTGAAAAAAGAAAATAAGAAAGCTACCCCCCCCAAAAAAAAGAGAAAGAATGTATGCATGAATAAAAAAAGGAAAGAATAAAAAAAAAGAAAGCATGATAAATAAAAAGGAAAGAAAGAAAAAAGATATTGGCGATTCTCTGAAAGAAAGAATGTAATTCACAAATCAAAAAAGAAAGAATAAAAAAAGAAAGAAATGATTTTCTGTAAGAAAGAAAGAAAGAAAGAAAGAAAGAAAGAAAGAAAGAATGCAATTCACGAATCAAAAAAGAAAGCATCAAAAAAGAAAGAAGTGATTTTCTGTAAGAAAGAAAGAAAGAAAGAAAGAAAGAATGTAATTCACGAATCAAAAAAAAAAAAGAAGTGATTTTCTGAAAGAAAGAAAGAAAGAAAGAAAGAATGCAATTCACGAATCCAAAAAGAAAGAACCAAAAAAGAAAGAAGTGATTTTCTGAAAGAAAGAAAGAACAAAAAGGAACAAAGAATTTAACCGTGATCCAGTGAACGCAAAAAAAAAGAAGAAAAGAAAAAAAGACAAAAAAAAGACTAATTATTATTAAATATAAGACATGATATTAAAATGAAACGTTGGATCTGTTGAAGGGCGCCTTTGATATGAACTGGAATACGAAAAAGGAACTCAAAATAACAGTAAATTAAAATCTATTGAAGGCAATAAGAAGAAAGTATAAAAAGCTGAATAGAAGATGGATACAAAAAGAAAGATGATTGATATTCAAATACGAAATCTGAAATACGACACTGAAAGGAAGAAGAAAAGAAAACATGATAATTGCCAAAAACAACAAAATAAAAATGATTAATTCGGACGGGAAAATGAAAGTTTGGAATGATGGTGAGGTGTCATTATCAAAAATTCTTGTAGATTCAGTTGAGAATATATACTGATAGAAAGAAAGAAAGAATGAATGAAAGAAAGAATGAATGAAAGCGAGAATGAATGAATGAAAGCGAGAATGAAAAAAGAAAGAAATCAAAAAAAGAAATTCAGATAATCACTTCAAATCAAAAAAATAAAATCACTTCTTCTTCCTTCATTTTATCTTTTATTCTTTTCAGCGAATCACCGCTTAATCCTTTCTTTCATTCTTTCATTCTTTCTTTCATTCATTGTTTCTTTTTTCTCTCTTTCATTCTTTCTTTCTTTCTTTCTTTCTTTCTTTCATTCATTGTTTCTTTTTTCTCTTTCATTTCTTTCTTTTTTCTTTTCATTCATTGTTTCTTTTTTTTCTCTTTCATTCTTTCTTTCTGTCTTTTCATTCATTGTTTTTTTTTTCTTTTTCATTCTTTTCTTTTCTTTCTTTCATTCATTGTTTCTTTTTTCTCTCTTTCATTCTTTCTTTCATTCTTTCTTTCTGTCTTTCATTCATTGTTTCTTTTTTCTCTCTTTCATTCTTTCTTTCTTTCTTTCATTCATTGTTTCTTTTTTCTCTCTTTCATTCTTTCTTTCTTTCTTTCATTCATTGTTTCTTTTTTCTCTCTTTCATTCTTTCTTTCTTTCATTCATTGTTTCTTTTTTCTCTCTTTCATTCTTTCTTTCTTTCATTCATTGTTTCTTTTTTCTCTCTTTCATTCTTTCTTTCTTTCATTCATTGTTTCTTTTTTCTCTCTTTCATTCTTTCTTTCTTTCTTTCATTCATTGTATCTTTTTTCTCTCTTTCATTCTTTCTTTCTTTCTTTCATTCATTGCTTCTTTTTTCTCTCTTTCATTCTTTCTTTCGTTCTTTCTTTCATTGCTTCTTTTTTCTCTCTTTCATTCTTTCTTTCTTTTTTTCTTTCATTCATTGTTTCTTTTTTCTCTCCTTCATTCATTCATTCTCTCTCTCTTTCATTCATTTCTTCACTCATTCATTCTTTCTTTCTTTCTTTCAGACAACCGCCACTCCCTTATTTTTTGTTTTTTATTTATCAATTACAGCGAATAAACAGTTACTTTTATACCTTGTTTTTTATACATTTTTATACTTGAAAGAAAGAAAGGAAGAAAGGCATAGAAAAAAGAAATAAAGAATAATGGAAGGAACGGCATTGAAAGAATGAAAGAAATAAGAAATATGAAACATAATTAATTAAAGATGAGAATAATGTAAATAGTGTACATAATACCTCATCTCAGAAATATAGACAGATACTGAAAGGCCGAAACGTTGTAATAATATGGTGACAAAGATGAGGACAATAGTCCGAATAATGTAAATAGTGTAAATACCTCATCTCAGAAATATAGACAGATACTGAAAGGCCGAAACGTTGTAATAAATATGGCGACAAAGATGAGGACAATAGTCCGAATAATGTAAATAGTGTACATAATACCTCATCTCAGAAATACAGACAGATACTGAAAGGCCGAAACGTTGTAATAAATATGGCGACAAAGATGAGGACAATAGTCCGAATAATGTAAATAGTGTACATAATACCTCATCTCAAAAATATAGACAGACACTGAAGGGCCGAAACGTTATAATAAATATGGCGACAAAGATGAGGACAATAATCCAAATAATGTAAATAGTGTACATAATACTTCATCTCAGAAATATAGACAAATACATAATAATATTGAACGAAGTAAAGGTTGAATGAGGAAGGAAAGTCTAAGGAATCAAGAAAGAAACTAAAGAAAAAAAGGATGTAAATGAATATCGACAAAAATAAATAAAGAAATTAAGAATGCAAAAAAAGGTAATTTATATGAAAAGGAGGGGAAAAGAAAGAGAGAGGCAAAAAAATAGAATAATGTTAGATTTAGAAAAGAAAGAAACAATGAATGAAAGAAATGTTTTAGGAAAATACTACAATGATTGATGAAAAGAAAATGAAAGAATAAAAAAAAGAAAGTGTAATAATAAAAGAAAACAAAGAAATAAAAATCCCTGAAAGAAAGAGAAATAAGAAAGAAAGAATTAACATTAAAAGAAAGAGAATGTTGACTACAGAAAAACCAAGAAAAAGAAGAATGGAAAGAGAAAGAAAAAAATGACAACAAAAAACGAAGTCGATGTTTGATTGAAAGAAAATAATCACAGAAAATAACAACGAAAGAAAGAGAGTGAGAGAAAAACAAGAACAGAGAAATAAAAGAGAAAGAATAAACGACACTGTTAGAGAAAAGATGGCACGCAGACCCAACCTTGAAAGCTATGGTCGCTCTCCGGTGTTGAACAGCCAGGAGAGGCAAAAAAGGGCGGACGCAATAAAGCCGTTAATCTATATTCAGCAGCGCGGGAACGCATCAATAGCAAATCAACGCACCAAAAAATGGCGGGAAAACAATGAAACTGATTGGCAATGGAATCTGGCTGGGGCAAAAAAAGAACGCCAACAGAGAAAGGAAAGCAAATCCAAATGCCGGATAACATCGCGAATTTGTCATAATATAGCTGAAACCAAAAACAAAAAACAAAAAAAACACTTTATCTTTCTCTGTATTCCAATAATTACATACAAAATGGCAGTTCCACATCAAGTTCATAGCTAATGACGATTCTTCGATAGTCACTGGGTGACTTGAAATTGTGCCTTTGTCGTAGAAAATAAGCAATGGTTAGTAAGTTCACCTCGAAGAGCCTTGTTGCTTTTACTGCTGCCGTCACTGCCTAGCTCCTATTAAACGATCTGAAGCGGAATTTCCAGTTGAAGAAGTCTGTCGTCCTAGACTGAAACTTCCCAATTGTGCTCAAATATTGAGGTTCAGTGACAATCCCTGATACCCGAGGCCTCCCAGAATAGGATGTACTGAATGAACAGAACAATTTCTCGTATCATCCGCATGTATTGGACTCCATTTTAACTGTGACCTGGTCAAACCTACCATTCTCGAGTGACATTTAATAATGTATACTCTTTCGTAAACTGTTCTAGTAAACCCTCTTACAGTAGAATGAACTCTTCCTCCTCTCATAAATACTAACTGCGAGACTTCCTGAGGGGCAGGGTTGAGCAGCTGGGGACTCAGTGTTAATCTACCATTCGGAAGGACACTTCTATCTGCTGACTAATAACACTCTTATTTTGTATATATGTTCTGTAATTCCAATACACTTGTTCAACCTACCTTCGTCTTACGTGTCTTTCCTTCTGGTCCCTAAACAGCCCACAACATAAAGAAAAAGTTATATTCTGTCTATATTTGAGAGATGAGGTATATTTAACTATTTATATTGCTCGGGCTGTTGTCCTCATCTTTATTGTTATATGCGTCCTGGGTATGACGATAAACTACATCCGCGTCCTGGGTAAGACGATAAACTACGTCCAACAGCAAGGACTCTGGTCCGGAGGTTTTGAGGAGCGTGGAACTACCTCTTAATTGCTCGTGTTCCCAGGTTCGCCCTGACCCGGGGTGGTAGTACCTGTTAGGATCCCAGCTATGGGAAATAATAAACCCTGAAACTCGGGTAAAAACACTATGGAAGTGTAAATATAGGGTCTAATACCAGAAATACCTTGTAAAAATTATTTCCTGCAATAAATTTTTGAATAAAATAAAAATATTAACAGCACTAATTTTTTTCCAGAAAGAAATATCACCAGCAATAATTTTTTTCAAGAAAAAAAAAAATATTACCAGCCATAAATTTCTCAATAGAAATTTATGGTTGGTAATTTTTTTTTCTTTAAAAGTATTACCAGCTATACATTTTTTAGAGAAAAAAATATTACCAGCAATAGTTGTTTTTTTTTTAATTTACCAGCAACACATTTTTGAAGGAAAAATATTACCAGAAATAGATTATTGAAAAAACAAAATATTACCATCAGTAAAAAATTTGTTGGCATTAAATAACCCATTGAGGTTGATATGCCGTAAAACAAAACAAACAAACCAAACATTATTGTTATATCCACGACGTTTCGGTCGTTCTACCCTCCAGACTTCTTCAGATGATATACGTTGAAATTTCGAACCGAACCGTTTATTTAGTCCATGTGGGTAGAGTGTTCTAGTTCCACGTGCCATGTCTTTCCCGGATATCTAAGTTTCAGTTAATTTCCAAGAACACATAGGCCAGTAAATAATGTCGTTCGTTGAAGTAATCCAAAAGTGACTTGACCCAAAATGTTGTGAGTTCAATACCTGGCCATAGCAGAGGCGAATGAAAAATTGGATAATTGAGTTACCGAAGAGAAATAACTGAAACTGAGACACCCAGACAAGGCATGTCACGGGAACTAGAACAATCTACCCTATCATATATCATCTGAAGAAGTACGAAGCGTACAACGACCGAAACTTCTTGGATATAACAATAAAGATGAGGACAACAGTCCAAAGAATGTAAATAGCGAAAGAAGTTATCTCCTGTGGATTTTATAAATTAAATTATTAAATTTTTATTAATATAAATGTTAATTAAAGAGAGAGAGAGAGAGAGAGAGAGAGAGAGAGAGAGAGAGAGAGAGAGAGAGTGAGAGTGGGGGGATTAAATTGATTTATTTTAGAATGAGTATTTAAAAAATATTGGTTACTTTGTAAAACAATTTTTGATTTGTAGCTGAATGGATGTTTTGCAAAATTTTTTAGCGGTGAAATTTGAAAGAAAGCAGACGACAAAATATATTCACTAAGTCGGAGAATATCAGATCGAGGCTAAAGTTTATTAATATAAAAATGGCCGCCATTTGAGACTGATGTCTGTTTTGGTGACGATTTCTCTGTGTGTTCGAGTTTGAAATTTTGCATTGTGCTGTTGCGAGTCAGACATTGTTGAATGTTGACATTTATTCTACAAATGAATAGCTTAAAGATGGAGGATGAAAA